ATATTTTCCTATTTATGCATGTGAAAATAAGAGGATGAAAAATATGTATCTTTTCAAGAACATAAAACTCTTTTTAATATATTTAAGAAAAATGTAGGTGATAACATAGGTAACATGTAGTCTTGCTTAATGATATACAGAATAATAGTGACTTCTATGTTCCATGGGGCCTCAAAATTCATGAACTATGAAGCTGACTTGAGGAGCTGCCCATCTCCCAGCTGGCTCCTTGGGGGACACTGGCAGGTGCTGTGGCCTCCCAAGGGGTCTATACAAAGTGTGGTCTCCACGAATGTCTCTGGGCAGGAAGCTGGTCTGAAGCAAGCTTTAGGTTCCCATGCTAAGCTACTCTAATGGGGGCTCTGCACAGGCCAACAGCCATGCCCAGGAACAGCAGCAGTAGTTGGTGTTTCTCTTCTTCCAACTCTCAAATGGCTCTAGAGACAAAAGATGCCCTTGAAGAATCTCTTGGCATTCCAAAATGTCATTTAATTCTTTGAGCCTAAAGGGAAAGGAAGGAGGAGAGAAAAGACACTCCCATTACCTGGGTTATTACCTGGGCCTCCCTCCAGGGACATGCAGACTGCCTCAGATAGTTTTTCTTCAAATTAGAAAATGCCCCCTGCCCCCTCTGTTGTACAATGATCACTAATAGGAGAGGATGCATCTGCTTTCTTCTACTGCCAAAAGGGTCTGGATTCTGACAGCTCATCACCAGGGACAAGCTGGATTTTGGCTGCCACAGTCCCCAGTATGACAGATGTGTTCAGATATGTCTCTGGTAATTAGTGTCACAGCTAAGCAGAGATGTGAACATCTCAGGGGAAAGGCCCTCTCCCTCCTTGCGTTTATCACACTTTAATAGCACATAAAGTCTCTGGGCCTCATCTACAGCAAAATGAGTGAAGTAGTCAGACCTGTGGAGCACCTGGCCAATTAGACCCAGGCCTTTTCCAGCTGCAGGAAGTCACAGGTTCTGCACCCCAACTTCAGGTAAATTAAGCTCAGGGAAGCAGGCTTGCCCGAAAACTATGCAGGAGAAGCGTCAAGATTCGTTCTCAAGTCTCTGCCCTTTAATGGCACCACCCAGCCGTTTACTCCATGACATCAGAAAGGTCCAGTGTGGGAAAAGGGGGCCCAGGGAGGGAGCACCTGGAGTTGGAGCCTGAACCCACCCTGATGAGACTAAAGGCTGTTCGTGGGGATTCTCAAGTCTCTCCTCGGGTAATATTTCCTAATGAGAACACTGTACCCCCAAGCACCCCACAGTCAATTGCAATAGCAGATAAAGACAAATCAATGTCACCAGAGTGATACAAAGCATGAAAGAACCACCCACTGTAATTTGGGGGGTTAAAGAAAGCCCTATTTTCAATGTGCAGAGAGCAGCAGAAAGGGGAAAAAGGGTTTTCTAAGTGAGGCCTATAGCACAAGCCAAAGCCCAGAAATCAGAATGTTCGTAGGGTCCCCACCAGCCCAGCATCTACCAGGGGGGAGTATCTGTAGGTACACCACCTCTTCGGGGACACAGCAAGATGTGAAAGTTTAAAGGGAGACCATGCCCAATGGTCAGGTAAAGCCCATATCAAAACTTTGCACTGGATCAGTTCCCAGGCCACCTGTCAGTCTTCCAGAATGCACCCCCTCATACCTGTGAGCAATATTGTTAAGCTTTGTCTTCAGTGCTGGTCAGAGGTCTGGAGCCTCTTCTAAAAATTGAGTAAATACAAAAAAAAAAAATAGTAGTGTGTTTGCTTAACTTATTTTAACATTTTATAAGGAGTATTTTCAAACACACATGAATATCAAGTAGTATAACGAACCTCTAGGTACCCATTACTCACATTCAATAATTATCAACATTTTCCAACCCCATTTTATCTATTCTTCTTTACTACATTGCCTTGATATATATTTAAAATGCTTACAGCCAACAAACGTATCTTTAAGACTACAGAATAGAATATGGCAGGTACTTATATGCTAAATACGGAATTTGTAAAAGGTGGGTACTAATTCTTGGTGTGGTAGAGGCAGTGCAGTCTGGGGACAGCACACAAATACTAAACATCTTCTTTCCTGTCAGAGCATCAGTGCAACCCCAGCTAGGGAGCCACCCACTGGGAAGACAGCCCATAGGAAGCCCCGTTGGCTCAGGGTGAACCCCAGAGGCTCACAAAAGTTCAGTCGGTACTGCGCAGGGCCCAACTGCAGCTGGGACAATGTGAGGGTAGGGAGAACAGTAATTGAAAGAAAATGAGCTGTGCTGGTTTGAACGCTGGGAACCTTTCTGGGCTGCCATGGAAAGCTCCTCTCTTCTGCACAGCCCTCCTTTCCTGTGTGATTCCCTTGCCTGCTACAAAGCTTGGTTATCAGAATTAATGCAGCAGTAAAGCCTTTCATCCCGGGGCCTGCAGACACTGGCAACAAAGGGAAGAACTGTAACAGCCTCATTAGATTTCTCTTCCTTCTGTTTTGAAGGAAAAATTTTCCCTGTGCCAGTGATTATTACTACCTTAGTGAAATACTTTCTTTAATCTCAAGATCTGAAAAACTCCTGCAGTATTTGCAGTGTTCTCTGTTTTACCACAAGCAATTAGAGGTCTAAGCTAAATAGTTCACTTCCTACTTATAATTTTCACTCTAACACTCTTAGTGGAATCATACAAACCCAATACCATCTAATTACAGCATGTAAAGGGATATCCTGGGCTAATGAAATTAATGTGTGGCAAAAAGTAGATGAAAAATAAGACCAATTTTCAGAGATAAAGCATCAGAGAGAAGTGTATACACACAGTGCCAGCTTGGATGTACATTTCTGAGGGGTGGCTAACAGTTTGTTTCTACTGGAATCAGCCACTATCAAAGAAAACGAGCCCTAAACTGTATGGAAGGGAGCAGCTTGCAGAAGCGAGAGCAAGAACTTGTGCGTCATTTCATCTTGACCCTTCCCAATTATCCTCTATGTCCCTTCCTGAACACCTGCCCCATGCCCAAATAACATTCTCTGGCCATTGTCTTCAGTATAGAACCCATACTTTGCCCTGGAATCCCTGGCCCCACGTGGCTACTGCCTCCCTCCTTGACATTATTTGATACCATTTTTTGCCTTGTTCTCTTAATTTTCAACTGTACTGGAGTCATTTCATTACTGTTGTATGTACATTTCCCAGCAAGGGACTCCAAGCTTTTCAATAAACACTTTCCTCCCCCACATGTTGGCTGACTGGTTTCTTATCTTTTAAGTCTTTGCTCAAATGTTACCCCCTCAGGTAAGCTATCTGCCAACTTTTGTCATTCTCTGCCTTACCTCCTGTTTTCTTCACAACGCTCATCTTCATCTCTGCTTCCTGTGTTGGCATCCACATGTTCTGAGTATCTTCCACACTACAAATGGAATCTCCATGAGAAGAGAGAACAAGTATTACAATCATAGAGTTTTAGCCCTAGCATCTAGCACTGTGCCTGGTATGCAGAAGGCACTCAGTGGCAACACGATGGCTGAATGAAAAGGGCTTGAGACAATAGAAGTCATTTTGGAGACTATCACAGCCCTGCAGTAGGAAATACTGCTGATGCAAAAGGCTCCTTAAGATTTGATATGATCCTCTGTGGCATTAGAAGTGGTGAATACAATTCAATCCTATAAAACTTTATTGAGGCTTAAGCAGAGAGAAGATTTGTAGAAGCTGTTACTGATCTACACTAATCTAAGATTTTTGCTACATAGTAGCTGGAGCTTTCTAAGGTACTCAAATAATAAGGACACAAAGACATACAAGGAGGTTCTCTGTTAGCTCTCTCCCCAGTGCTTTCTTGGTTACACTTGCTCTGATTCCTTTACAGCAGAACTTCTCAACCTTGGTGGAATTGAGATTTGGGACAAGATAAATTCTTATAATGGGGTGCTGCACTGCACCTAATAAAATTTGTACTAGCATCCCTGGACTGTACTCACTACAAGTTAATAGCCCCCTTTCCCAGTTATGGCAACTAAAGCATATCTTTAACTACTACCACATGTCCTTAAGAGCAAACCACCCCCACCCGAGACCCTCTACTCTATAGGTTATTTGATTCCTGGTTTCCAAATGTGAGGCTAAGACTTGTATACATGGTTTTTAAAGCTATAAAATTGGTTGAGACTCATTAGATAGTGCATATGGACAAAGAAGAGTGTGAGGACTAAGGATTCTTGTGGACGGATCTACAGCCTGAACCTCTCCTCTGAACTTGGGACCCCATATCCAGTTTCCCGCCTGGAAACTCACTTGGTTTGAGTCTTGTTTTGCCTGTGTCCAGATGCCTCCCCAAAGTCTCATGTGGTCATAGGAGGGCATTTTGGGAGGTAGCCGGATTTAGGGTGTGTGATGCTGGGATTGATTCATGGTGCAATGCTAGGATTAATGGTGTGAGTGCTATCTGGCTTTAGGGATCAGATATGAGGGACAGAAAGAAGGTAATCACTTGTAGCTTGCTGCTTTCTGCCTTCTGCCTGCCATGAACTGTTTCTCCTCTGCAAAGCTCTTCTGCATTACCACACTGCCTTGCATCCTGCCAACTATGAATTGAAACCTCTACAAACTGGGAACTAAATAAAGCTTTCCTCCTTTAACTTTGTTGTCAGGTATCTTGTCTCAGCAAGGAGAAAAGTAACTAAGCCAAGTCTGAAACTCAGCATATGTAATGCTAACCCCTGGTCCTACTCTGCTCTTCCCACTGCCTCTCCCTTTTCAAAACAGAGAAACTCCTTCTATCCAGGTGCACAAGTCAAAAATCTCACAATCAGCCTTGATTCCTCTTTCCTTCAACACAATGTAGATGCAAGGAGAAATTTCCTCTCTGTCCCCTGAGAGTTCACTGGAATAAGTGGAGAAAGATAAATTACAGAGGAAAAAAGGCATATAAATTTATCACATGCAAGAAGAAATCACATAACGCAAGAGCCCAAAATGATTCAGAATCTTGTGTACTCTGTTTCTACTAGACATGCAGAGAATAGAAAATGTATATAATTTTGAGGCATCATAAATTACTTTTAGGGCATCTCAATGGCTTTAGAGGGCATTCAGTGGCTTGGGACAAACACTGTTTGGCCTGTAATGTTTGTAAATAATTCTCCGGTACTGAAACAGAGAACAATGGTGTGTGACAAAAGTCTGTGCAGGTGTAGAGACAAGCCTTTTCTCTTGTGATATGAGTTCAGTCTTCTCTGGTTAATAAAATTTCACTAGGAGCTCTGAAGATAACTGCTTACCTCTCGGTAGGTTTGTTGAGATTGATAAAGGAAATCTGTAGCAAGCTTCTCCATGCACTAGGAAGGGGAAAACAAGGGAAGTTCAGATGGACCTTGATTCTGAGCTATGTTCTAAAGTATCTCAATTTCCCATACATTAAATTAGTCCAATACTAAAAAATCCTATTTTCTGTTTATTTCTCAAGCCTCAATGACTGTCCTACAGCAAACTCCATTGACTCCTGCTTTAAAATTTATTCAGCGTCTTACTGTATCTATATTCTCCAAAGGTGCCACCCTCAACTACACCCGTGACTTCTCATCATCAATTCAACATCCACTTATCTGTCCATTCAACTCTCAACAGCACTCAAGTCTGGTGTAGAACTAAAAACTCCCCTAAAAGTCTCATGTATTCAGAGGCGAGGTTTTAGGGAAGGTGAGTGGATCCTAAGGACTCTAACTTCATCAGTGGATAGCCTATTGATGAGATCATAATTTGATGCCATTATTGGGAGATAGTACAAACTTAGGAGCTGAAGCCTAGTTGAAGCGGGTATGTCATGAGACATTTCTGGTCGCTGGCTTCTTCCTCTACAGCTCTTTCTCTAGGTGTCTGCTTCCTGCCTGCCATTAGATATATGGGTTTCTGCCACTAGGCCCTTTGGCCATGAGGTTTCTTCCTTGGAGGCAGCAGGACATGAACTGAAATCTCTAAAACTATGATCCAAAATAAGCCTTTTCTCTTTTAGACTGTTTTTCTGAGGTATTAGGTCACAGCAATGAAAAGCTGACTAACACAGGTACCCAGGCAGCAGCTGCACTAGAACTCCTAAAACACAGAGGAAACCATGTCACTCTCCGCTCCCAACCTTCTATGGTTCCTTTTCACACCTAGAAGGAAATGCAAACTCCTGATCAAACCTAGGTGCCTAGGTCAGCGGTGGTAAATAGATGCCATGTGTGCTGTGTCAGGCTGTTTGTGTCACTGAACATTCTAAGAGCTTTGCCATCACTGCCCTGGATGGTCTGCCCTGTACCTGCCGTCTGATTCATTTACTCCTGGGTGCACTTGTTGTGTTGCAGCCAAATGGCTGTGCCTCAGTGTCTGATACCTGCTTTCCCCCTGAGCCATAATGGTTATTCCCAAGATGGCCACTTCCTTCCTTCAATATCTGCTCACATGCCAACTGATCAGTAAGGCTTTCCCTGCCAAATCGTTCATTATCTTATATATTCTGCATTTACTTACTTACTTATAGTACCTCCTCAGTGGAAAATGAGCTCTGTGAGGGCAGGGACTTTGTCTTGTTTACTACTGTATTCTAAGCACTGGAACAGTGCCTCACACACAGTAGGCATCCAATAAATGTATGATAAGTCCTACTTGCTTTGCATATCTTGATCAACAACAGCCTTCATTAGAGTATCAACCAGGAGTGTCCCAACACTGTCCCAACACTGTCCCAACAGTGTCACGCTTCCAGCCTCTCAGAAGATTCCCCACCTAGTGTTATACTAGCCTTTCTGATATTATCCTAGTTCTCTTTCAACCTATCCCCATATGGGTTAGCAGAAGAGAGGTTTCTGCATTATATTTTCAGAAATCTGTTTAAATTTTTCTGTGACCTCCTGATTTATAATAACACTTCCCATTATTCTGGACATGATCATTTATTCCAGATATTTTTTATCCTTTGCACAACTTGTGTTCAACACTTTGAAAATTGCAAGTTTCTCCTATTTTAAATGCTATGTTGAAGAGATAGAGTTCACTGAGGTAGAGTCACAAGCCGATACCAACAAGAAAATGCAACATAACAGAGTAAGTGCTATTGTACGGTGTTCTGCTCTATAAGTGTCCCATGGTCAGGCAAAGCTAGAAAGTGTTACATACAACAAGCAAACAAGGAGGGCTTTGGCACATTATGTTCACATCACAGAATTACATATAATGTTGATCTCACTGTTGGGGCCTGTGCAAAGTTCATCAGTGTCCCTCATAGACACCCAGGAAGTTAGCATGGTGGGAATGGCACTCATTTGCCCACTCATTTGGCCATGGGCTTCTGTCTTGTTGTTATATCATCTTTCAATGAATACATTTAACCCACAGGAGAATTCAAAAGGCAATCAGGCAAGAATGTGCAAAAGATGTCAAATACAAGATTCATAGGTTTTAGAGATGGTTAATTTAACGGAGTAACAATCGGTAGAATACTAGGACTAGCCAGTGCTTTCCTTTCATGGACAGTCACAAAATGACACTGCACAAGTCCACCAGAGAAACAATGAGAGGAGCATGTCTGCCCTTCAGGGAATTTTGAAAGGAACTTACAAAAGGAAGTACCTGAATCAAACTCATCTCCTTGAAGACTGGAGTATAATGATACTGATGATCAAGCATTGATTTGTAGAGATTTCATCTTTGAAAGGACTGTATTCTCACCATCACAGCAATCAAAAGGGTTCACTTGTATACCCCCAACTTGCAGATCCACTGTCCTTTGAGAAAGTAGCTTCTTTATCTTAAGACAGAAGTTTCTTTCTTTTTTTTTTTTTCAGAAAAATGAACCCAGAGGGTATTCTAAAGCAGTGATCACTAAACTATGGCCCATACACAAAATCCAATTGTAATAGTCAATTTTCTGTTACAATAACACAAACCCAGTGGCTAGGTAAAATAGCTTATGGTTTGGAGGGCTAAAAGTCCAAATGTCATGGTCTGGCAAAGACCCCCTATCTGCATCACATCATGGTGGATGGCATCCCCATAGTGGGAATGTATGCTAGAGGTAGAGACCACATGGTGAGACTGGAAGGTAGAATGAGACAGGGGAGGCACAAATAATGACCTCTGCTTAGGTCCCACCATTCCAAGGTCCCACCACGTCTTGGTATCACCACACTGGGGTCCAAGGTCCCAAAACATAACCTTGGCAGGAATATTCAAACCATATTAAAACCACAGCATCAACTCTCTGCTTGTTTTCACAAATAAAGTTTTATTGGAACATAGCCATACTCATTCCTTTATGTGTCACCAGTGCCTGCATTCATGCTGTGAAAGCAGAGTTGAGTATTTGTGACAGAGGCCATATGGGTCTAAAGGCTGAAATATTTATTATCTGGTCCTTTATAGAAAAAAGTCTCCCAACTCCTATTGCAAAGCAATTAGCCAAGTCAACACAGAAACAAGCATGCTATTATAAAAACATAGGAAGAAGCAGGGCTATTATCCTGTCATCTGCCTCCAGAGCACACAGAGGAAAGCAAAGGCATTTTGCCCATCAGCATTGCTGAAGATACTGATGGTGCCCTAGGGCAGCCTCTAGACTCTAAAGTTGCTTCTTGCAAATAACTGAGAATTACTGCCTAGAGGTTTTTTACCTGGTCAAACAAGACAAGTTGAAATCTTCCCCTCAGGCAGATCTCAACCAAAGATAGGTAGTTGGTGAGTAAGTAGCTCTACTCCTTTCTCTTCAGGTAACATAATTTAGTTACCCACCCCTATTACCCAAATCCCTTTTTGATTAAACTAATTCAAGATGGGCTTCTATGCCTTGCAATATAAAAGTTCCAAATAATCTATGGGCTCTTGCATAGTATCCTCTCCAGGCAGGAGTCTAGTAGTCAAGATCAAGTATCTAATAGCGATCAGGGGGTTCAGGGATTTGCTGGGATGAAGACCCCAGAAAGGCTTCTAGCATACCTCCGCAGTCAAAAATACAATGGCTCAAGAGAAGGCAATGCTGGCTTCCCTTCTTCTATAACTCAATAATAATTTTCACACTTGACCACAAGTCTACATGCTTTCTAGGACCACTGTCATAAATGACTGCTGTCCTTCAGAGCCCTACGTAACCTGGCTTCTGTCTTTCTCATCTTTTCTTCATCTTAACTATCCAGCAACACTGTCCTCCTTCATCTTCTTAACCAGCTTAAGACTGTTCTCTTTTAGGGGGACTTTGCATTTGTTCTTTCCTCTGTCTAGAACACTGTTGCCATGATTTTTGATTAGCTTCTTCTCATTCATTACTCAGCAAAAATATCACTTCCTCAGAAAAGTCTTCCTTGATTTCTGAATCTAAAGTAGAGTTCTCTCTGCTGCTCCATCTTATATTTCCATTTCATTTTCCACTTAGCACTCACTACTGTGAGATTGTCTTGTTTATTGATTCACTTACATTATTAATCCCTCTCTAAGGTGCTTAACTCCAGAAAAGAAGTGACTTGTCTATTACCTACTATTGTTCCCCTGAGCATCAAGAGAGCATATTGTAGGCACTAAATACTTGTTGGGTGGATGTATCAATGGATGGATAGATAGAGGGATAAAGGAAAGCAAAGAAGGGAAGGACCAAAATAGAGTTGATTCCAGTCCATAATTACCCAAATCTTGCAGCTCCAAGCTGAGTCACCGCTTGAGCCAGTTGTTTTTCCTTAAAATCAAATATGTTAAGCTGTAAAACCCATCTATAAAAGATGACTGCTGTTGCTCAAATATCACATTCACTTTAAGGCAGGAAGACAAGAGGTGATGCCAGTCTCATCTATCCTATTCCTTTTAGGAATGCAAAATCTTTCCATAAAATCTCCCCACAACCACCCTTGACATTTTAAATTATATCTTACTAAACAGAGCCAGGTCACATGACCTAGCTGCAAGGGAGCCAGGGAAAGTCCTATCTATTCCTCCCAATCTCTATAACAGGAAAGCTGGTGAGAGGCTGGGGGATGGAAACAGGTGTTCTGTTGAACCAAATTCTAGTGTTGGCCACTGAACATATCCCCTAGTCAACACTGCAGCCTAAATAAAGAGAACAAGAAACGTCCAGTATTCACAAAGAGGTGTTAACAAGGCTCCAAGCAAGAAAAGTTCCCTTTGCCTATTTGACAACTCCTAATGCAGTAAGAGTTTGCTTAATACAATGATTTGGGAAAACACTTCCCAGGAGTAGTAAGAGCAAGATGTTCTCATCTTAATAATTTGTGTGCTCACAACTGAATTAAATGAGATGGAATAATAAGGTTGTAGAAAATATGTCACAGGTTTTTTTTCAAGAAAAACTAAATAACTCACTACATTTGGTTATGAAGTTGTTATAAGCTGTTAAATTATTTTCAGACCAGGTAAAAGAAACAAGCCTGGGGGATTTGTCTGTTGTGTTAACACATATTATTTACCCTAAGGTGACATTTTAATAGCAGGGGGAAACTTGAGCAGCCTCCCAGCCCCTACACACATTTTGCCACATGCTGCTTTGAACGCATAAATCCTAGCTTTGTCAACAGTAATGAGGCCCAGAGAACAAGCACCTGCTGGGGTCCTTAAACTTTTCCTGTGAAAAATATACATAATTAAGGAATTGTGAGCACTCTCTTCTGATTTATTATTAAAACAACACACCTTGGGCCATATTTGCACCCTGACTTGGAGTTAAACAGACAAGTGATTAAATATCATCCTCACAGGGAGTCCCCCAACACTCTCTCATCAAGCTTTCCATGTTCATCCCACCTGTTCTCAAAGAGCATGAGAAAGAGAACGAGCAGTGCATCAGTGTGGCAGGAAGATGGATGTCATAAAGCTGCACTCCCATTGGCCTTACACTGTCCCAGCTGTTACAAGACTGTGAAGCTCATGGTTAACAGTGCCGACTCTTAGATTGGCATTTGTGGTTTCTGAAGTGCTCTCATCCCCAAGGTGGACTTGTCTTGCTTTTGAATAACTCTACAAAATCTGACATCCCAATGGGATCTAAGTCAGGTAAAAATGCAAGGCTGAGCAGTCTTCTAGGGGCTGGTCCCAGACTGCAGATTACCCAACTCTGAGATCTTCTTTCTCCTAGAAATGGGATTCTTTCTCCAACACTTGGTTCCATTATCCCAGGGCTTTCCCCCAAGACCCTGGGGCTTTGTCTGTATTTGTACCCTCTGCTTGAAACTTCAGACCTTTCTACATTGACTGTCTCTGCTTCTCTCTCTTTCTCTCTCTCTCTCTCTCTCTCTCTCTCTCTCTCTTTCTCCAGACCTTTCTGCATTGTAGTAAACCTTATCCTCTCTGTCTTTTTAGAGGGAGAGTCTCACTTTGTAGTTCAGGTTAGTCTCAAACTCCTGATCCTCCGGCCTCAGCATGCTGGGATTGCAGCCAAGTACCACCATGCCAGCTTCCTGTCCTCATTCTTACCTTCATAAGCATTGGGCTCCAGCACCTCTCCACCTTGTCCTCCCACCTTGAAGGTCACTTCCTCCCATGCTCAGGCATCACAAGGCAGTGCAGCTTGTCTGGCTTGATTCCTAGTAGCTGTTCTGCCAGACAGAACCATTTTTCTCAATAGAAAGTCACTGACAGAACTCGGCCTCTTTTAGCATATTTCATTGAAATTGAGCTCAGAGAAACCCAGCCTTGGTTCCCTTTGGGGGACACAGAGCAGCCACGGTCTTGCCTCAGAGAACTCATAGTCTTCTTAGGAAAACCAAGACTGATGCTTCCACAGCCTCTGAGGGATCATTCAGAACTGTGTTATGTTCAGGACTGGATTTTAAAATTCACATAGGAAATGCACGAAGAGTGCACTGTGGACTAGAATCGTAGGGAGGACTTCCTGGAGGAGGTGAGAGAGTGTTGAGGCTCAGCTCTCACAGGCACAGTGGGGTAGGGAGGTGGGGAGACGCAGGCGCTTCAGAAAGTTTAATGAAAGTTTTGCTGATGATGAATTTTTTTCCAACTTCCCCCTGGGGTTATTTGTTTGATTTTTCTAAGATAATTTCCAACATCTACACATGTATGCTGTTAAAGATAGGAAGTTATATTTCCCCAATCAAGACTACTAAACCAATGTATTTTTGACAGTTCTATCATGCTTTGTTTTTTCAATTATAAACACCTCTTGGCTTTGGAGAATTGGGAAAGATGAACAGGAACATGTCCTCATTCCCATATTTTAACTGATCCCTAAGGGTGGGTGGGGTTTGCAAAGCAATGCTTAAAAGCAGTGATTTTTTCTAGAAGGGACTAGATAAGATCCATGGGTGGAAATGCACAAGGAATCCACAAGAATCATACAGAAAGCGCAGCAGTTCTCAACCACTGTGAGACCAGTCAGCATGCGTGACAATGATGCCCACCTGTGCAACTGTGACGCTTAACGGCTTCTTCCTATACTTCTTATGCATGCTCAGATGTGTCTCCCCAAGATTATTATTCAGCTGGTGTGATTATAAATGAAAACAATAATATGCATATGATACTTGATGCCCTTCATTTCCTTTTTTTTATTTTAAAAATAAAAGGAGGAAAATACTAACAGACAGACAACATTTTACAAAATAGCAATGGATCAGTACAGACAGTACAGAGTTACAAACACAGTGGTAGGGAATTAACAATGCTATGCCCTTCATTTCATCGGATCTTCACAGATGCCCCCCCCCCAAAAAAAGCAGAGCATAGTACATCAGCTTCACCTAGAAGCTGAAGCTCAGAGAAATTAAATACAGCATCTTGATTGAAATCACACAACCAGAAAAAATGCCACACTCCCCTATCTTCTGACCATCTTGCTTCTTTGCCTTCAGAGCCCTCATTTTGTTATTTCAACTTTATTCATAATGAGATGCACACTGAACTCAAGCATCAGACTGATAAAATAATCCTTTCTATGCAATGTTTTCCCATTAAGGAGTGATATTACCTTGCCTTTTCATATTCCGTCTTCCCCCAAAGCTGTATCATTAACTAAAGAACATCTCTGACTTATCCAATAAAGTGTTTAACCTTTTTTAATGTTTTATTGATTCTTAAAGCTTTGGCTCCGCGAGAAGAACCTGATTGCTACATTAACAACCTCATTGATATTCTTTTAACAAACCTTCTGCAGTGTGGGAAAGACTGGGCTTCCAAAGATCTGTTAATCAATGAGCTAATCTTGCGTCCACCTCATGCACATTGCAGGGAAATGGGCAATAAGAAATAAGATCTACATGTGGGTTCCAGGGGGGACTGTGATGTCCATGCCCCGGCAGCTTGGCTGCCTGAGGATGGAGCAAAGGTCCCCCTTTCAGGGAGTTGGTGAAAGAAGAAACGAGTTTTCTCCAGTCTGAACCCTTCCATCTTAAAACCACCATGACCTTTGCAAAGCCAAATTCAAGGGCAGCCATGTGCCGTGGGAAGGCTTTAAGCAGAGTTGAGAAAGCAAAGTCCAAATTCTTCAGCTAGAGCTGGAGGCTGTCACGATCTGACCTTGCAGCCTCATACTTCACCACTTGCCCCTTTCTCTTCTCTGAGACCTGTGCTGCACCCAGGTCCAAGTGTTAGGATTAAGGGAAGTGAGGCACTCACTACAAGGGCAAAATTTAAAGGGGCAACAACAACAAAAATACAGTAAATGAGAAAAATAATATTTTAGTGCAGTAGTTTAACAATCAAGATCCATACAAAAATTCATCATAAACAATACATCAAGTTTTAAAATAAAGACAGGATTCACCTCACATTTGTATGATCCTGTCTCATTGACTGCACTGTCGCTTTGGCCCCACCAGTTTCTTTTAGATTTCCAAACACACTGTTGTCTTTCTTACTTCCTGGCTTTCTCTGCCTAGGAGACTCCTCTGCAGTAAGTCCAGCTCTTCCAGGCACAGCTCCCCTGATGACTGCAATAACCATGAGCTCACTTGCTCACACGTGCAAGCCTAAAACCAATGTTTACTCTAAGCTCCAGCAAAACCCATCATAATGTTTCCCTCACCCTGTCATAATTGCCTGGCTGACTCTAGTCCCCATTCTCCAGTCCCTTCCTTCTACTGCCCCTTTCAAGGGCATGAGCTTGGTTTGGCCTTTAAGTCAATGTATGGTATATATTTAGCAGCCAAATAGCTGACTCTGCCAGAGGAATAGGATCTCTGAGTGAGACATGATGAGACATTTGAGGAGTACAATTCTGTAAAACATCCAAGCCACATGTGGTGGCACACACCTATAATCCAAGCACTAGGGAGGCTGAGGTAGGAAGATTTCCATGAGTTCAGGGCCAATCTGGATTATACACTTAGTTCAAGCCAGCCTAGACTACACAGGTAAAATCTGACTCAAAACTCCAATGTCCAATGATCTATACCCCACGGACAAAGACTGCCTCTGTGACCAGTCCATAGCCGCGCTCTTTTGAGCCTTCTTCTTGACTAGGCCTCAAATTTGACCTATAAAGACTTAAATATTAACCTGGTTTCCAGCAACTTACAGCCACATCCCTAAGATCACCTTAGTCCCTCTTAAAGTCCCTGCCTGACAAAAACTCTAGGTTGTTACAGAATGTGTATTTTGTTCTAGACAACAGCTGAGGTTGTGATACAGCCTCAGTCTGTCAGTCTCTGTAGTTAACTTCTAGCTAAGAGACTCAGCCAGCTCCATCACATCTACACTGACTATAATTTTTCACTTCCCTGACTGCTAAGCTCCTCCCTGTTTGCTCACCCTCCCTTTGAAACATCCACTGACCTTTGTACAAATTACAGTTGAATTCAGTCCCTGCTGGGCTCTTTTCCTTAGTTCAATAGTTGTTCACGATTAAAATCTGTCCTTGCCATTCTAGCATCAGTTTTGTTTACCTTTGACATTCCAGAACAAGAATCTATAACAGCCAAAGTAAGTAGACTGAAAAATATATGAAAGTCTATTGATAAAGCCATTGGGAACAAGATCTAATTAGAAATATTAAAAACAAAGAAAATAATATAATAATAATAGAGCTATAATAATGGATAGGTTGATAGCAGAATAGATGCAGATGAAAAATGAATTCCTGAATTGGAAGGTTAAAAAAGGTATTTCTTCAAAACACGATCCACTGGCCATCAGCAGCATCAGTCTCACACAGAGGGGCTGGGGATTTAGCTCAGCAGCAAAGCGCCTGCCTGGCAAGTGCAAGGTCGTGAGTTCGGTTCCCTGTACCGGAGAAAAAAAAAAAAAAAAAAAAAAACCTCACATAGAGACTTGTTAGAACTGCAGAATCTCAATTTCAATAGCCCTACTGAGCCAGAATATGCATTTTTAACAACAGTCTCAGGTGATCTGTGTACCCATGAACATCCATAGACTTTTGGAATTTATGGGGGAGATTTGGACAGTACCTAAGCTTAAAACCCACCAGCAGCAGCAAGTTTCACTTAAGTAGTTTGGGGTGTAGAATTGTTAAAGCTACCCTGGTGATTCCAAAGTGTAACCAAGATCAAGAAACTCTTAGAAAAAGGATAGGGATGAAAAAAAATGTAAAACTTAAGAGATGCAGAAGGAGTGTAAGAGAAAGAAATAGGGGTATACACTTACCAAAGTATGTTATAAGGGTGTAAGAAAATGGCATACTAAAACCAATATTTTCTAAAATGAATATGTACTATGGTAATAAGAAATAGATTTTTAAAAGAGATATGGAACACAGAATTAGAAGTATCAGCATACATATGGGGGTAGTCTTACATGGAGAAGCAAGAAGTAAAGGGAAAGGTAGAAACACTTTTTTAAATTATGGAGCTAGGTATGGCAGTTCATGCCTCTAATCCCAGCTCTCTGAGAGGCTGAGGCAGAAGGATCATAAGTCTGAGCCCAACATGTATAACTTAGTGACTTAGCAAGACACTGCCTCAAAATTAAAAACAAACAAACATTTAAAGTCCTAGGAATATAGCTCAATGCAAAGGCCCTGCATTCAATCCCCAAGGCTGAAAAAAACTGAGAAAAATAAAAAGAAAAGAAATATTTCAGGCCCCATGTCAATATATTGAAATATCTCACAGAGTGCTCTAAACAATACATATTTAAGTGTATAGAGATATTATATTGATATTTAGGAGTGTTAAGGACAAAAAGAAACCTTTAAATGCTTGGGAGAAAAAAAGTAGTTCACTCAAATATGAACAAGAACTAGGTTTCAGATATCTCAAGAGCAACACTCACGTGTAATTCCAGTGCTTTCATCCATCTGGAGGGGTAAAGGGAATAATTTGAATTCAGAATTTCATATCTAGTTCAGCTGGCATTTAAAATGAGGTCAAAATAAGATATCTACATCCATACAAGGCTTTAAAGGGTAACATACAAAGACCATCTCTGAAAAAGTGTATCAGGTTAGGTTCAACCCTGAATCAAACTCCAAGGCAGAATTAGAAGCATAAGTAATATATTGGGGAAACCACTGTGAGATGAACAGGGATAAGGAGCAGGAGGAACAACATTACGGATTTTTGCTTTTGCCTCAGATTCCAGTATGACTGATTCTGTGTTTAATTACATACTTGATATTTCATTTGCC